TCCTGCTGATTATACTCTGTTCTAGTACCAAAAACAAACGTATCTATGAGTGATGTGTGAGCGCGTCGGCCAGGCACTAAAACCAAAAGAACAGAAAAGAGCTTAAGAAAGATGGAAAGAAGGCTCTTTTATTCCTATTCCTCACTGTCAGTGTCAGGGCAGTCATCGTTCTCTTCCTCTGTTTCTTTTTTATTTGCACAATTTGAGCAACGACATAAGTCTATGCAACAGAGTCCTGCAGAGAAGCATGAACATCTGCCTTTCTCACAGGCAGACTCTTTGCAGCTGCAGTGTATCACATGCAACACACTGTCAGGGGCAGGATTTCTTGTCATCCAGGTGACGTGTAAGTTCCCATCCTCTATTTCCCAACCATATCCAGCAGGTGATGGAGCATTCATTTCTCTTTTGAGACAGGACCTCATTATTGCTGCCTGGTAATTTGCCCTTTTGCAGTGCTGATGGAGGGCATCATGAGTAGGGGGAATGCTTAATTCTGGCAAGGCCGATGATGCCATACAGAAAGCCTTGTACCTAGCATCATTTACATGTTCGGCTGCTGGCTGATCATACAGGTGACATACATACCGGCAAAGAAGTGCAAATGTTGATTGCTCCAAGTCAAAGTTAGTACCTAAACTTCTGAAAGCCTTAAGGTAGTCATCTTTCTCACATGCAACAGCAAATGACTTTCTTTTGCCTTTGCCATAGAAAGCGCTTGTGGAGTCACACCCAGAGAACGTGTGAATTCCAATCAAGGCTGAACACACACTGGTTCCGAGAGCTGATGACACCATGGCAATGTCAATGATCCGTGTCCTGTTGCCAGTCCCTGTGAACACATATAAGCTGCATGGCAAATCTGCCTGCAGACTTACAGCAATGACTGCCACATCAGTGTCCGAGCTCTTGATGATGACAGCTTTGTGCTCCTGTGCAGCATGTTGGGCATGTAAAAACACCCGTGTGTCACATTCCTCATGATCACACTGCAGGTCTTCAACAACATCAACAGACTGTACACCCTCCATGACAGTTACACAGTGGCATTGATTTTGATGGGCAATGTACAAGCTGAGGTTTTTACCCACTGTTGTGAGGTCTGCATATGTCCATGCCACATAAAGGAATTCGGCCAGTGCTTCCTTATTTTTTCCGTCAGAGAGAAACTTCTTCCACTGGGTTGGAGTTTTCTGATCTGGGCTGAAGATTGTTATTAGTTGTGACCCTGCATCAGCTCTACGGGACCGTTCTAGGCTTTTGATGCTGATGGGTGGATACCGGTCAGTGACAAAATCAATGCGTGTACACTTGTGATGCAAAGCAAGTTGGAGTATGCTCTGCAGTATGGTCTCTGCAAGCTCTCCAAATGTTGCTGGTCTGGATGGCATGGCCTGCATGACTGCCATGCCATCAAAAAGAATGGCACCACCTATTGGAACTTTGTCAACCAAGCACTCTCCACCTTTGCTCTGCAATAGATCCATGAGAGCTGATTTGTTTGTTTTGGCAAGTGAACCATCAGCACTTGCTAATGGATATGACACAGTTCCCAAGGAATATGACAGAATTTCCCTCATTTCAATTTTCCTGCTCTGGCCAAGGATGAGGAGCCTGGAAAATAACTTCTTGTCAGCACGCAAAATCACTTCCTTGCCTGCTGGTCAACACTTTGGTCATCTTTCTTCTCAGCAGCTTTCTGCAATTTGCCTAAACGGAAAAAAAGGACAACTCAATGAGTTTGTTGACGTATCTCTCACACATAATTGTACCTTTCAGTTATTCAACCACAGAGAATGTGTGTGTGTGTGTGTGTGGTGTGTGGATGGGGGAGGGGGTTTGCTTACCTGCTTTTAATGTTTCAGCCTTACACAGTTGATCCCTTTGTCGCTTGCCTGCTTTGATGATCATTTTCTCCTTCATCTTGCATATAATGCACAGGGCAGGAAGGACGGGGCCAGAGCCTGCGATTGGCAGGCCTGACCTTGATCGTAGCTTCTCTGTTTGGCTTCGGTACGTGCTGCGAGACGTCGATGGGATGGGCTCGACCTCAAGGTCCTCCCTAACGTCTTGATCTCCCTCACGTGCGAGCCGTCTTTCCACCTTCGTCATGGCCTTTGTGTCGGTAAACCTTATGTAGCATGTGTGGTGGAAGCCAGCGTCCTCAGGAATATCTTCGAACTCGAAATCAAGACAGTGCTTGTGGTTTTCAGCCACCACGTTCCGAGAGTCTCCCTTCAAGCCGAGCGACCGTTGTAAGCTTGTCTTGTACGTATTCCATCTTGTATTGGTAAAACAATCAACCTTTTCGTGCTTCACAGACGTAATATGCATGTAACAATGTTTGTGTGTTGACAATTTTGACTTTGAGACTTTCTGGTGCGTTTTCCTCGTCTCCGCTACTCGATGAAACCATGGCGGCCGCCATCTTTCACTTCTGTTGACAATATGCAGCTACCCAATTGGTGTAGCACGATCACGTGATGAACCGTGGCACGACTTTGGACCAAGATATTATTACGCTTCGAAGGGAATAGTTCAGCCAATAATTACGTGCCTAGAAGAATTGGCAGGAATTTTAGCGACGAAATTTTTTTTGGTGGATAAGCATGAATCGTTCTTTTTTATGAACTAAATATTGTGTAGTTTCACTTCTGTGGAGCGGGATTTCTTTTCTAAAGGACTTTTCGAGGTTCACCTTGCGGCCTACTTTCTATGATTTTTTTTTTTAATGATATATTGTCAACTGTAGATGTTTACAATATAGTAAGTTAGGAATTTCATGAAAACATATTTATTTACTTTTGTTTCAACATTGGATATTTTGTGTTTTTGTTGGATTCAATCGAATATTGAGAAAATGATTTATGTAAAAATGTTTTACTTACATTTTACGTTTTTTTTATTTTACGCTTTTCTTACAGTTTTATGTTTACCTTAAAATTACAAAGAACATCTTAAAGTCTTATAATAGTAATACACTTTTATATTACGAGTTACATATTTAATTACAGATAAAAACATTTTATTTTACGTACATCTGCATGTATTTTCTGAAAGTGCAAAAATACTGTAAATATTATATAGTAAATTTACAGTAAAAAAAAGACGAAATAAACGTTATTTGTTGTTATTGTCAAAATACTTCAAATAATGTTTTGGGTTGTTAATTTATAGTTAATATCTGTCATTTTACAGGATTTTGCAAGTTATTTAAAAAAACATGATAATTACTATACAAATTTACAGTTATTTCCTGTAAAATTACGATCTTTTTTTACAGTGTAGGTAAACGCAGTATTGCTCCCCTGTGTGTGTGTGTGTGTGTGTGTGTGTGTGTCTGTGTCTGTGATGTGTGTGTCTGCCTGTGGTGTGTGTGTCTGTGGTGTGTGTCTGCCTGTGGTGTGTGTGTCTGTGGTATGTTGGTGTGTCTGTGGTGTGTGTGTGTCTGTGGTATGTTGGTGTGTCTGTGGTGTGTGTGTCTGTGTGTGTCTGTGGTGTGTGTGTGTCTGTGATGTGTGTGTCTGTGGTGTGTGTCTGTGTGATGTGTGTCTGTGGTGTGTGTGTCTGTGTGTGTCTGTGATGTATGTGTCTGTGGTATGTGTGTGTGATGTGTGTGTGTGTGTGTGTGTCTGTGGTGTGTGTGTGTCTGTGATGTGTGTGCCTGTGGTGTGTGTGGTGTGTGTCTGATGTGTGTGCCTGTGGTGTGTGTGTGTGTCTGATGTGTCTGTGGTGTGTGTGTGTCTGCGTGGCGTATAACTTTTTTTTTTTAAATCTTGTATATTACTTTTTTCTCAGGTACCTGGCAACCGGTGACTCGTACAGGACCATAGCATTCAGCTATCGGGTCGGGCATGCAACAGTGGCTGTCATCGTCAAGGAGGTTGCGGGTGCCATCTGGACCGCGCTGGTCGAGGAGACCATGCCGGTACCACAGACGGAGGACTGGAGAGCCATCGCTGCTGGGTTCCAGGAGCGCTGGAACTTTCCAAATTGCGTTGGTGCCATTGATGGGAAGCACGTGGTGATCCAGGCTCCGGCAAATTCTGGGTCCCTGTACTTCAACTACAAGTCCACCCACTCCTTGGTACTACTGGCTGTAGTGGATGCCCAGTACCTCTTCAGGGTAGTGGATGTCGGAGGTTTTGGAAGGAGCAGCGACGGTGGGAGCCTGCGGAATTCCGCTTTTGGAGAGGGCCTCCGAGATGGCAGTCTGCAGCTACCACCTGATACCGTCATCCCAGGAGCAGAGCGGCTGGGCCTTCTTCCCCATGTGTTTGTTGGAGATGAGGCTTTTCCGCTGCTGGACAACCTGCTTCGTCCGTTCCCTGGACGTCAGCTCACGCGTGAAAGGAGGCTGTTCAACTACCGCCTCAGCCGGGCCAGGTTGGTGGTTGAATGTGCGTTTGGCATCCTCTCATCTCAGTGGAGAATGTTCCGGCGTGTCATCACCACCAGCCCGGAGGTAACAGAGTTGTGTGAAGGCCACCTGTGTGTTGCACAACTTCCTCCGCAGGAAGACAATAGGAAGGTCATCACGCACACCTGTCGTCCCTGTCTTCGCAGAGTCGAGTGATGAAGCTCCAACCCTGCGCGATGCACCTATGATGGGCTCAAACAACGCCACACGCCGATCCATCCAACTGCGGGAGACCTTCTGCTCCTATTTGAATGAGGAGGGTGTAGTGTCATGGCAGCATAAAGTGGTGTAGGGTCACCATGGCTCCTCCAAACCAAAAGCTCTTTTAAGAGCTACCCATTTTCTTTAAAGAGCAAATATTCCAAATGAGCCATTTTAAAATCAAACATTCCTAATAAACATGTTTCTTGAATTGATATTATTATATTATGATATGACTAACAACCTTTTTCTTTCAGCCCTGTTTTTACTGATAAACCACTCATAATTTCAATAGGTTTTCACATGACCAATTACAGAAGAAAGCACATTATATATACCGACATACATGAAGCTTCTGGTATGTTGCAACTGACAAACCACATGAACAAGTGAAGACACAGTATAGCCATAACATACTTGAAATAATGTTTTATTTGGTGAATTTGAGTGAAGTGTGTGTGTGATGAGTGTAAACAAATGTAATGTGGATCAGTATGTGTGAAAAAATTATTAAATTATAAATTGTCCTGCTGGTCCACGTCAAAAATTAGCTGGTGTACCCCGAGGCGGACTCTTGCCCTCTGTGCCCTTGTCATCTGCCTCATGGTGGGCAAGAGGCTCTTGAAAATTGCAAGTCCTCGTCCTCCTCCACCACTGGTGGGGTTGGCTGGGCAATTGCTTGGTAATTGCTGACAGCAGACAGCAGACTTCGTTCAAACGGGGACATCTACCTCCCCCTCCCCCGTGTTTTGCCCCGGACCTCAGCATTCTCCTCCTGGCTGACTGCTGCTGGCTGACTGGTGGACATGCTGGCTGACTGGCGGACTGGCTGGTGGACTGGCTGGCTGACTCACTGTCTACCTGGCTCTCTTCCTCTGCCACCAGGGTGGATGGAGGCAGGGTCTGCCGGGGGACATTGCTGGACGTCTCACGGTCTATGATGAATGGGGTTAAAAACCCCATCACTGCCATGAAACGCCAGGGCTTGTACCCCCCTGCAGACCCTGCCCCGCTTCTTTTGGCCTCCTTCTCCATATTCTTTTCCTTGCGGAACCTGTCCCTCAGACTCTTCCATCTCTTCTTGCAGACATTATCTAATAAAATGAAATGAAATAATAAAGTTAATAAATAATAAAGTGAATTTCTTGAATTTACTAAATTATTCCTCCATTAATGAATGCTATTTTTATGCTACATTCCATGCTGGCTAAATATACTGTCTATGCTTGATAGCTATGAATCAAATCAAGTTTTATTTATATAGCACATTTATAAACGATTTTTGGTCGAGCCAAAGTGCTGTACATATAATAAAATTAGCCTACAGTAGAGACACTTTACAGCAAATACAACAGCACAGATTGTTCAGAATATCAGTATGAGAAAAACGACACCCTCTGCATGTATTATATGTTATATATTATGCTTATACTTGTTATATTATATATCATTTTTTATTATTAATATATATTATATGTTATGCTACATTACTAGCTGGCTAAATATACTGTCTATGCTTGATAGCTCTATATATTATGCTTATACTTATAATGTTTTTTTATTATTATATTAATATATATTATATGTTATTATGCTACATTACTAGCTGTCCATTCAATGCTAAAACGAAGTAAACTGGATATAAACTCCCCAGAAAATCTACCAGTTTCACCAACTGTCTCTGCCACCTCCCGCCATGCCTGGTTCCTCCGGTTTAGGTCCCGGTAGGTGAACAGAGTACAGTCATACAAGACTGGGACATTTGCCACGGCAATGATTAATTTGTCCTCCATTTTATGACATATGGAAAATAGTCAAGACCTGCGGGATCAGCATACACGCGGTTTGATTGGCTAGCGCTTGTACTGGCGGGAATTGCAAAAACGGGATTTGATTGGCTCACGCCAGCTTCGAGCAAGCATCGAGCCTCAAAAGTTGAACATTGTTCAACTTTTGACGCCGATAGACGCTCGCGATGCTTGCAACGCCTTGCCATGCTACCCACAATGCAGTTCGGCGAAGTTTGAAAATATCCTACGTCACCCCATTCAAATGAATGGGCGAAGCATTGAAAGCATTTTTTGACGCCTGTAGTGTAGACGGGCCGTTACGGAGCGTCCACACAGCAGCGTGCGTTGACGCTTGGAGGTGGGCGTATCTGAAGCTTGGGGATTTTTTGCGAGAAACGCGACCAACAACCAATCACATGAATCTCCCGCCCCCGACATACAAAGCAATAGCAATGTTAAAACGAAGTAAATTGGATATAAAATCCCCAAACAGGCAAAAACCTACCAGTTTCACCCACTGTCTCTGCCACCTCCCTCCATGCCTGGCTCCTCCGGTTTGTATCCCGGTAGATCAACAGAGACTGATCATACAGCACCGGGTGATTCATTACCGCTATAATGAATTTTCCATCCATTTTTTTTAATATGAGGAAATGACCTGCGTAGTCTCTCCCAGCATACACGCGGTTTGATTGGCTAGCGCTTGTACTGGCAGATTTGCATAAACGGGATTTCATTGGCTGACGCCTCCGTCGAGGCGTCAAAAGTTGAACATTGCTCAACTTTTGACGCCAGCAACGCTCCACGTCGCTTCCCAAAATGCAGTTCGGCTAAAAGTGACCCCATTCAAAGTGAATGGGCAGAAGCGTTGGAAGCTTCAACGCACGCCGCTGTGTGGACGGGCCGTTAGTGTCCAAGTTCTTTATGGCTCTGTCTTGAAGCGTTGCTCTTTTAAAAACTGCGCGCGTCGTCCACTTCTGTGTGTGCATGCGTAGTTTCTCCTCCTCCGGCGGCCATTTGAAGACAGCCTCGTGCTCAGTCCGTGATCCTCTGAAGTTGCCGCTTCGTCAATTAAGACACACTCGCGTCGATGGACAGTAGTTTTCACTGTAATAGACCTATCGCTAAGCCACGCCCCCTTTGAAAACTCGGACAAACAAAGCCGACCGTGAATGACTCTTGACAATGGCCGCGGGGGGAGTTCAAGTTAAAATAACATTAAAATAGAAGCAAGAGCTAATAAAAGCAACAGCAGATGAAAGTTAATAGTTAAAAGCAAGAGTAAAAAGGTAGCCATGTATTTCTTTATATAAAATATCTAATCTTGTTGCCTGTCGTGTGTAGTGGTGACTGTTGTGTAACCATTAGAGATGTTAAGATTCACCGATTCGCATCGGTGCACCGGCATAAACGTTCAAGATGCGAGTGCACCGGTTGAAAGAGTGCACATCGGCTACAGTTTGGGTTGAACCGGGTTGAACTCGCGATGCATCGATTGCGTAGCGTCTTTGCATCGGTAAAAAACCGATTCATTCATATAAAATCCCCTAATCTTGTCAACGCTCAGCAGAGACGATCTTTGATATTTGCTTCGCCACTACGGAGGCCGAGAGTCTCAGTTATCAACACACACGGAAGTCGAAGAGAAAGAGAAACACAGCGCACCGAAAAATACCTACAAATCAAACGTTTGGTAACACTTCGGATTGTTCAAGAAAGACGGTGTAATAGTCCTTTATGCTAGGCTATATAGTTGACCGCAGGTCATGGAGAGTAATAAGGTATCCGTAGACTTTTGTATGAGGTATCTTTATTACTTAACAGGTCTACAGCCATGATACATAGATCCGTCCTAGATGCGGGCTTGCATACACACAGTATCACTCCGCAGCCGCACCCCATCAGTAACGTCCTGATGGTATATGTGCGCGGCACAGACGGTCAACTTGAAAAATCGCTCGCAAATTGTTAACGATGCCGAGCCGATTTAAAGTACACAAGTAGTACGAGGAACTTAGCGACGCACATAAAGAGTCGACATGGGGTCTGCGGCTGAAAAGAGAAACCTCAAAGTTAGACATATGAGTTAAATCACTCAGTGGGGTGTTCTGTCAGAGAGTGGTGTTTAGTTTACAGCAGCCTGTGACGGCCAATAATAATTTAAATGTATTCCTCACTGTAAGCAGTTATGAAATACCTGTTTGTGAAAAGTTATTTGTATTATTTATTGTTCATATAGAACCCACCGCTTTCTGCTCACTGGTGAGTTAGCCTATGAATGAGTGTTAAGCACATCAGGCTGGCAGCTGTATGGGCATTGCTCTATGGTAGCTGTTATTTGCACATTGTTAATCATGAGCAATGCATCCTTACATTGTTTAACTGTGAGGTGTTATACAATTGTACTCTGGAGAGCTTTTAAAGGTAAAAAAATAAACGGCATGATGCGATGTGCAGTACCAAATATGTAAAGCACTTTTTTGTTAATGTATGATTTGCTGCATATAAGGAATAAAACAAAAATCCTCTGTCGTACCAAATTGAAGTATCATTATTTTTGCATCGTGTTGAATCGCATCGTATCGCACCGAATCGCATAATGTTGAATCAAATCGTATCGAACTGTATCGCAACAGGGGTGAATCGTATCGTATCGCATCGCCTGGTGTTTCAAATGTATCGTTAATGTATCGTATCGTGGCAACGTATCAGATGCGCATCGCATCGGCCTCAGTGATGGAGATGCACATCCCTAGTAACCATTGAAATGATAATATGATGTTGAATGTTAGCAGTGGTGGTCACTACATTAAATCTATAACTATAACTGTCCTTGTTGGTCATCATTTTCACTGTTATGCACCTGGCTGACTGTAGCGTTACCTTTTTTTTGGGTGAGGGTCTGTGTCTTTTCGGAGCAGCACACACGAGAGCCCGGATGGGATCTGATATTCCAGAGTTGGCTTCCCATCTCTGAAGTGCTTTGAGGTGAAAAGACAGTTAGCAAAAGTTAGCTAAAAACACCAGCTAACTAGCGAGGACGAAAAGTCAGACAGCAAACGTTGATGTTGATAACACTGTAGCTAGTTAGCTGGCTAACAAGTTGGCAGCTAACGTTAGCTAGCTGGGCTGGATATACGCTAGCTAGTTGGCAGTCAAAGTCAATCGTTAGCAAACTAATAGTTTGGTCTACGTTTCTAATACATACCGTCAAATATGATGTCTTTATGAATTGACCTTACCTTTGAGCAAACATAAGTGTCCTTGATAATTGTCTTCACATTCAGTTGTGTATGTGGTTGACGACACAGCATAATCCACCGCTTGCATTTGTCGAGTTTTCTTTTGGGCTTCGGAAAAGGTACGAAATATACTCCTCCATCCAGTCTTTCAGGGTACCTGGTGTCCGAAATTACAGGTACCCCACGCACAGCGTTTCACCATCAGATATTAGCTAGATAATAAACATAGAAACTGAATTCTTCACAGTGGTTTCGATCACAGACGTCTGGTTTTGGTTTGATGCGCCCCACAAACGGCTTTTCTGGTGATGTCCGAGTTTTCTGTCAGGAGGGATTTTCGCTGTGATATGATTGGACAAATTCTATTTGGGGCGTGGTTTAGCGATAGGTCTATTCCCTCGAAGCACAGGCAGACACAAGTGGCTTTCTCATTACAGGTTTATTCCTCCGAATCCACCGTGAAAACTACACAAACAAACAGTATAAATGACAAACATAGTTTCGTGTTAGACACAGAATAACATGCACAACATGTGAGATAACTAGCAAGGTAATAAACATAAAAGTAATACAAACACAACAACATACCTCGTTGGGCTGCATGCTCTGTAAACAGAGGGAAGTATTCTTCAGTTCTCTTCACAACTTATATGTATAAGAATAGAAAACTAACGGAGCTGTAAGTATCCGTGCATCTTACTCTGAGGGTGCTTCTCATGTTCTCGCTCTCTAACTCACGCGAGAACAGCATAACGAGACGTGAGCTTGGACTTCAAAATAAAAGACGAAATATTGCACGCATGAAACATTACAACAATAATAATTAGTACACTTAGAAAATACACATTACAGTTAAATTATGAACATGTAAAGGCTGCACTTACAGATGCTAATACTAATACTTTTCATCCATTGTGTATTCCTTGGATACTCTATTGAGCTTTATCTTTTCTACTGTACGATTATCTGGCTGGGGCGCTATGCGATTAGTTTTGTATCATAAAGATAAAGCAACACTTTCTCAGAATAAAGCAAAACTATGAGTTTAAAAGAAAAAAACCTGAGTCAAGCAAAATAAAATAAATGTCAAAAATAAAACTATAAGTGGCAAACAAATCATTTGTGTAATCATGTAAACAATAAGTCTTTTTTCTTTGTTTTAACATAGGTTTTTGTTTGCAGTTCTCTTTGCTTCTTTCTCAATGATCAGACTTTTGCTCTCGCTGCAGCTCTCTCTTTGCGGTCCTTCACTTTTTGTTTGAGATTCTGACACAAACGTTCCAGGTGGGCGGGACTTTCAGGGGTGCGTCCCCATTCTTTCACACACACATACGGGTTTTGGGCCGAGGGCGACACCGTACTTCCGGTATCAACAATTTCACGCGAGGTGCATACATAATATCATAGTCGATTGTCTTAATCAATATAGTCAACTCTAAAATACCACATATATGCATTGGCATGATAATATTATTGTGACAAATGGGGTATTCACCTGGTGTTTCCAGAAGATAGACGTAGATGCAGCCAAAATCGACCGAAGGCCACTTTTGAGGGTCGTAATTCCATACATTGTACATCCAACAACCCACACAGCTCTAGTTTACGCTGGTAACGACCTAGAGCACACCCCTCAAGTCCAGAGATGTAATCCGAAGACATGCAGCGATTTCTTTGGTCGTTAAATCAGAAAAAAAACCTAGTGCGCTCTGCCTGGCTACATCAGATCTGGGGGGGGGGGGGGGGGCGCTGCGCTGGCAGCTCTGGGAGGGAAAAAAACATTTTGACTGTTTGCGCTCATCCTAATTTTCGGCCTTGATGTAACAGCATTC